CGTCTCCCACGTCACGGAGGTCTTTTCCCTGCCGTTGCGCACGACAAAGCCCGTTCAGCCATAGCCGCTCTCCTCGCCAGATCTCCCCCTTCCTATTTTCACCGCGCTCCCCGGAGGTGGGAGCGTCCCGCTGACAGAAGCAGCGGACACACGCAGGTGGCTGAACCCGGGAGCGAGGAGCGGTGCGGGGCCTCGCCCGGCTCCTCCGGCACCGGCAGCCCGCGGGGGGCTGCGGGAGATGAAGGTGGGACCCGGTTAAAATTTGATGTGCTTTCCGATTGCTTTTGCAGAAGTCGGGCGCTGGGTGTTTGCCTGCCTGTCCTCTGCTAGGTGCAGCTGGGCTTTTCCAGGGGTTTTACTGGGGTTCCTGGGAGAAGCCTGGAGCGGGACGTGGTGGTCTGCTTTGGTCCTGCCCATGGCTTCAGCTGGCAGAAAGTGGTCCCTTCCTTTGTGTGTTTAACCGCACTCGGGTGTGGCTGATGGTAACAACAGCACCCCTGCATTTAGCACAAAATTGTCCTCTCTAAAATCAACGAAAGCAGCGAGAGCTGGGAAGTCTGCAAAGCGAGCATCAGCACAGCTGTGTGAAAACAGCCCCTTTCACAGAGCTTGGTATTTTTGATGCAACTTTCCCCTTTTGTGCATAACCAAAATACGTTCTCCCGTGCTTTGTTTTTCCTTCCTGCTACCAGTCTTGTAGGGAAGTGAGTAACTCTAATGTCTGCACTAGAAATGCTCGTAAAGTTAACATCTTCATCTTTTAAACTTTAAAAAAAACCCCCTCTTTTAGCACTTTCCCGTAACAGTTAAGAGGAGCCTTTCAGTGGACTCAGCTGGGTGTCCAGTCAGGCTGCTGCTGTCCTTTGTGGTGCTCTGTTTGTCCTTGGGGTTATCTGCAGAGGGAAGGCAGGCCCTGGCAAAATCTGTACGCTTAATGCTGGAGTGAAAATGTACTTCTGTCAAAAAGCTGCAGGAGTAGGATGGGGAGGATGGATGGGTTTACCCCTCCTAGTATGTCACCTGTCTCTTTAGATATTTAATACGATAGATCCGTCCTGTGGAATCCACTTCTCTTGGGTAAGAGACTTCAGGAACAAAAACTGTTTTCATTAAATGATCTTTATTGAGACTAATGTGTATGATTTCTGTTTACGTTCACAAAATTGCTTCATCTCTGTATTCTAGGTGAAGATATTTGCCCCCAATATCGAGCAAAGGGATGTAGTCAATCACCTAAAAGGAAGTCCAACAGAAGAGAAGAGAAATGTGTTAATTGAAAGTGCCAGATTGGCAAGAGGAAACATTCAGGATCTGGCTGAACTGAAAGCTGGTGAATTTGATGCGGTCATTTTCCCTGGTAAGTGCTTTTAAAGGAAAATAACTTGTGGTTTTTCAATTGCAAATAACTGCTTTGTGTCTGGTACTTTTTTATTTTAAAATTATACTCTTGAATTTGAGAGGTATGTGTTTTTCTCTTTTTTACTGTTCTTTTGGTGTTAGGTCATACATTGCACTGTTCCTTCTTTTTAAAGACTGTGAAAACTTTAGTACCTACTTGCTGACAAGAACGCTGACCAGAATAGAAAAGTAAGGCCAGAACTTGGCAATGCTTTATTTTTAGGGCCTCTGATATTGTTGTCAGAATAGTAGGTTGCTAAATAGATTATATTCTCTGTCAGATGTGAGTACATTTTGTTTTAATTATGTATCTGGTCTGCTGCTGATCAAGTTATACTAAATATGTTTATGAATAATTTTTTATTTATAGACCACAAAATTGCCTTTCAGATGGAGGTAATTGTAATCACTTTAGAAATGAAGAAACCAAAGCATCATGAGCAAATTATGACTTGCTGAAGATCACTTTGCAGAATATTCATAGTACTGTTAAATATTGCCCTCACAACTGTGCCTAACCGTTAATTTCGAAGTTGTTACACTGTCTTCTGTGGTAAGGCCAGCAGATGGAGTGTGTGTGTAACGCAGAGAAACATAATTCCACCGCTAAAATGAGTGGGTGACATCAGGGAGTAGAGGCTAGCAAATATTTTCCTTGTTAATTTCATGCTGTTATAACTCAGGCTCAGGGAGCCTGCTGTAATAACTGTTAGAGGAAAATAAGCCCTATGAAGTTAAACAATTAAAATCTTACCTCAGAGATTCCAGATAACACTCAAAAATGAACAAAGAGTGAAACAAAATATATTAAAAATGCAAAGCTTCTCAATGTTGTCCACTGAAATATTTGTGGAAATTTCTGTTTGTTTATTGTGGAAGAGTTGATGTTGTGCACGTTCCATAAGGAATCAAATATAAGGGATGATAAGTGTAAACAAAGATTAAATGAAAGTAAAGGATTGTTGTAACTAATTTCTAGAAAGACAAATTCAGCATTATTTTTAATAGGAAATTATGTTATCATTCACAAGTGGTATGCCTCAGAATATGATATGTTATCAATTCCTTTTTGTGTAATATCCATTTTGGTTTGTTGTGTTCACCTTTATTTATTTTTTTAAGTCCAAAAAGAATTCTTGCTGGGGAAAAAGCTCTCCTGTAATTAAGTGTTGAACTAAAACTTGTGAAATTACTGTACAGGGTCACACCACTGTTTGCTTTACTCTCCTCAACTGCACTCTTTTTCTAACTGCTGCTGGCCTTTCTTCTAATCCCTCTCTTGCTTAGGAAAGGGTGTGTATTGGGTGGTGCATCTTTTCCAGTCACTAGCAAATGAATGTGAGGCTTCCTGTTTCTCTGTTTGTTTCTCATTGAAGCCAGATTAAGCTTTCTGGCCTATGTAACATACGTGGTATAAAAAATCTGCAGTCAAACTTTTAGCATGATAAACCCATCACATTTCATGTACTGAAAGCTTTCAGTTTATTAACTTAACAGTCCTACGTGTGCCATGATTATATTGTAAAAAAAGGGTGACTTTCTGGTATTGAGTTTAATGGCTTTTAGCAGTGTCTTACATTTAAGCTTTTGGTTTTTGGGGTTTTTCTAGGTGGTTTTGGTGTAGCAAAGAACCTGTGTTCCTGGGCAGTAGATGGCAAGAACTGCACTGTCAATGAGCACGTGAGCTCCACACTCCAAGCTTTCCACAGTGCTAAAAAGCCCATTGGGTTGTGCTGCATATCGCCTGTCCTGGCAGCTAAAGTCTTTCCTGGTTGTGAGGTCACGGTCGGCCAAGATAAAAACGTAGATGGAAGGTAAGAAGGAAATGGATGGAGATAATTTACGTGGGAATTAGGTTTAGGAGATGGCCAGTCTTCTGTGCAAAAGTCTGAGGTCTCTGGTGCCAGTAACCTTTGGGTATCTAATTAGTGATATTTTAAACTTATTTCAAATTTTCTACTTCAAATTTCAAATTTACTACTTGCGTAATCGTAGTAGGCACAGCACTCTCAGGGCAGACAAACTGAATCTGTGAGATCAGGTGACTTGTGCACTACAATGTTTGAAAAATTTATCCATAGATTCAGAAATATGTTGGTCTGTGATATATGCTAAGATATCAACATCCACAGACACATTACAGTTAATAGTATGAAAACTCTAGGTAGCCTTATCTCTTGCCTAAGCCATCAGTCTGTGAGCCACCAAAGGTAACCTAGGCTCCTACACTGGCTTTGCTGTGCAGTGTGGGTGCTAATGAGTCACTGCATGTAGCACCCATCAGTCCTAAAAGTGACAGAACAAAGCGACTCTTACAGAATTATAGCTGTGTAAACATGCAGGTGACCAAGGATGTCAAGTTATTTCTTCACATTACATTCATGGTAATTGAGTGACAGATTTTAGCTCACATTGAGTGGGATACAGGTTTTGCTTACCCAATGACTCTGAAGGCCTTGATTCATGTTGCAGATGTGCAAATGAAGAATAGGCATCTGGACATTCAAGAATGTCAGGACACCTGGCATTCACGAATTTGGTACTCTGATAATTTGAGTGGCTGTTTAAATTGTGTCTGTGGGGTTTTGTGTGTTCAGGGGTTTTTAATAAAGTTTTTCTGCTGGTAGTGGTTTGGGGCCAGTTTAAGGGAAGCAGATGAGAACAGGGCCTGGCAGAAGTCAGTGCTGCTTCAGGGACTGTCAGCTCACAATAAAACTTCTAAATAGAATTTAATATCAGCAGCAGTAGTGAGGGATTGCCTCTGCCCCCTGTTCCTGCCTTATCCTCAGGAAAAAATAATCTTTGGAGAATCCCAGTGTAAAACCTTATATGGAGGTGTTGGAAAAGGTCTAACCTGTCTGCAAGTTCAGCTGGCATCTCTCACACTTTTGAGGATCTCTTACGGCTGCGCTTGGTATCATCTTGTAAACTTACTGAAAGACATTAAAACTAGAATTGTACCTTCTGACATACTGTGGCTCTGCATTTCAGACCTTGTTTTCAAAGAAATTGGATCACTTGTTGTGTCCATAGGGGATGAGAGAACCTGACAGTGGCAGTCTGTTTGACTCCCTTGTCATCACTAGCTAAAGGGTCACTTGAATGAGAGAACTACAATAATAAAGTTATGTTGGCTGAACTTTATGGCTGTATCATCTCTTTTTGTTAATTACAATCTTTTCTTTTACAGATTTCCTGATGCTGAAACAGCATCTGCTATAGCAGAGCTTGGATGTAAGCACATTTGCAAAAATGTAAATGAATCCCACGTGGATAAAGCCAATAAAATAGTTACTACCTGTGCTTTCATGTGCAAGGCTCCTCTGCATGAAATCTTTGATGGAATTGGAACAATGGTACAAGAAGTCCTGAAACTTGCCTGACTGGAAGCCTACAGACTACTACAAGGAATTCAGTTTGGCTAAGCATAAGCCTTTGGTTGTATTAGTAAAATAATGCAACTATTAAACTTCACAGTTCTTGGTTGGTTTATTTGTTTGTTTTAAATCCGTAATTTATCAAGTGGTTATTGCTAAGTTTATCCTGGAAAAGAGAAGGCTCTGGGGAGATCTTATAGCAGCCTTCCAATACCTGAAGGGGGCCTGCAAGAAAGCTGGGGAGGGACTTTTCATAAGGGCAACTGATGACAGAACAAGGGGAAATGGCTTTAAGCTGAAAGAGGGGAGGTTTAGATTAGATATTAGGAAGAAGTTCTTCACTGTGAGGGTGGTCAGACACTGGAACAGGTTGCCCAGAGAAGCTGTGGATGCCCCTTTTCTGGAAGTGTTTAAGGCCAGGCTGGATGAAGCTTTGAGCAACCTGGTCTAGTGGAAGGTGTCCCTGCTGATGGCAGGGGGGTTGGAACTAGATGATCTTTAAGGTCCCTTCCAACCCAAACCATTCTATGATTCTATGATTTCTCTTTAAAATAGAAAGTATGTGTTGAAGGTTGTGGGGGAGGGTTCCCCCCCTTTTTTTTTCTCATGAATCTGAATGTATTCAGTCCTGAGAAGATAATGTAGGAACCCTCCTTGGTTTTTATCACATCACTAATGATACAGGCCAGTCAGCCTCACCTCCATCCCT